GGGAAACAAGACTACCCAAACCGGAGTTTAAGTAATCTTGAGACCAAAACTGTAAAACGTGGTACCCGAAAACTAGTATTCCAAATTCTAGAGTAAGGCTTTTAAAGAAACATGTTACAAGTTCTTGTATCATTCGAAAATGTAATAATAATCCTAACATGTTACAAACATATATAGCCATATAAATACGTATTTCTTCTACTTATGATCTGGATTACATAAAAACTATATTTCCATGCAGTTATAAGAATACTAACTATCAAATACCTTTTTCTAATTAACTAAAAACAGTGCCGTAAGCAACATTAGGATACCAACTTCGTACTTATTATGACTAAACACTTTATTCTTCCGGTATTTGGAAATGATACTTTAATAAGAAGTCATATTAAATACTATCATTATCTTTAATTAACTGAAAATGGATTTAATATAAAACTATATTCATAGCACACGGTTTATCTTTAATCACTTCAAATAAAATGGAATTTAATAAAAATAATGACATACAATAGATGTCGTATTATAATACTGACAATATTTTGTTTTGAATAATAAAGATAATTGTACTTAATAAATTTCAATAAATGTCGTATTATAGTACAAACCTTAATAGAAGATTCACCCATTAAATATTATGCCGTACAATACTCCAAACATACTTCCCATCCAAAGTTGTTGCCCCCACCATTAGCTTCTCTATTTTCAGTTGGCTTAGCTTCTATAGGTTTAGTTTTTATCATAGTATAACAAACGTAGTATAAAATGTTTAGAGCTAAATAGGCTCAGGCCACCAGCGTACTTTCATACGGAATACCTTTATTTTTTTTTGGATGAAATGTAAAATATATATTAACACCCAGAAAAACTATACATCACATATCCTAGATCTCCTAAAACCTCCCCCACTCCCACATATTGTGAGAGTGAAAGTAGGTTTTTATTCGATCTATTCTATGCCAAATGACCAGGTATAAAACCTGACCCATCAAAAGGTTCAAAAATACATCGATGCTGCATATGCACGCACACAGATCAGAGGCTAAAAATCAAACAAAGTACAAAGGTGTTGCACGATGTACACACCCTAAAATCCAAGACCATTCTCCATGCCGAGGCATCCATGATGTCCATGCCACGGTGTCCTGAGTGTCCAAGCAGCGGCATCCAAGATATCCATTCCTCGGGGCATCAAACAGTCATGTAGCAATCTATCCATACCGCGGCATCCATAATATCCATGTCGCGGCCTTCTCCTCAGAACTTGATCAACTCTTTTGGATAGATACTAAAGAGTATCTTGTAAACCACAATCTTGATCTTAGCAACAATGTCTTCCTCATTCTTCGTCACTTCATCAAACCTAACCTTGTTCCTTGCTCTCCAAATGTAGTATACCGAAGCACAGAATGCCAATCTCACCGCTTTGCCCTTCAACTTCGCGCCTTTGTGCGTCTTTAGCACCCATTTGACTGAGCTAGCTAGCGTGGTTATTTGGTGGCTAAGTCCCATCCATTCCCTAATTCGTTGCCATACCCTACATGTAAAAGGGCATTGGAAGAAAAGGTGTGGTATTGTTTCCAAACCACCCTTGCATAAGTCACATCTATTCACAATATGCAAATAACTGAGGTTATCCTGAGTAGGAAGCCGGTTTCGTAGGGCCAACCATACAATGAATGAAAATTTCGGGGGGATATAAGATTTCCAAATGAAGCTCATCGTAGTCATAGTCTCTCCCTTAACCCTTAGTAGATCATACACCTTGCCCGAGATTAATTTTCCATTTATGGCCCTTGAATTGAGGCCCAATATGGTATCATTCAGATTATTAAAACACCCTCTCAATTTGTCCCGAATGAGACCCATCCGCTTCATGAGCTGAGAGTCTCGGTTGTGTGGGATAAAATCCCACACACTCCTACCATTAAGATAGACACCGTTAACCCACTTTACCCATAAGGTATCTTTTTTATTATGCACGTCCCAAATAACACGTGAGAGGAGGGCGTGATTCCAGATTTTAGCATTATGGATCCCTAGCCCTCCTTCCGCTTTTGGTAGGCAAATATCATCCCATGCAACTTTCGCGAATTTCCCACCCCACAAAAAAATCCTACAGATGGACACAATCCTATCCAAGATCGTTTGGGGAACCGGAAAGACTTGGAGCCAAAACGATTGGACCCCTTGGATCACCGATCGAATTAGCTCAATCTTCCCAGCATAGGATAATGTCTTTATATTCCAAGTGTTAAGGAAGTCTTGAATAATGGAAATCAATGGTGCGTATTGTGCAACTGAGACTTTTAAGGGGGCAAGGGGGATTCCGAGGTATCGAACCGGGAAAGTACCTTGCCCATAGTCTACAAGGTCTAGGATATTTTGCAATTCTAGGTCCCTCACCCCACCAACGAAGATGTTGGATTTGTCATGGTTTACTCTTAGCCCAGAAACATCCCCAAACTCTTTTAGAGCATTCACTAATATTCGTATAGAATATATGTTACCTCTCGAGAAGAGCATTAGATCATCCGCATAGGCTAGGTGTGTAATACCAAGTGACGAGCATTGGGGGTGGAAATTAAAATTCCCTTCATTGGTTCTCACAGTGAGTAACCGAGAGAAATACTCAAGGCATAGCACAAAGAGCAAAGGGGACATTGGATCCCCTTGTCGTATGCCCCGTTTACCATTAAAAAAACCATACAACGAACCATTCAAGGAGATTGAATAAGAGGGAGTGGATACACACTCCATGATCCAACCTATAAATCTAGTCGGGAAGCCCAAACCCACCAAGACATTTTGTAGGAAATCCCAAGATATGGTGTCATACGCCTTTCGCAAATCTACCATAATCATACACCGTGGTGAGATCCGCTTCCTGTTGTATCCTCTAACAAGTTCCTGGGCAAGGAAAATGTTATCAAACATCAGGCGGCCATCCACAAACGCTCCCTGAGCTTGATTAACCAGCCCCGAAAGAGACGGGGTCAATCTAGCCGCAATAATTTTGGTAATCACCTTGTACAACACATTTGTACAAGAAATGGGTCGATAGTCCGAGGCTTTTGGGGAGTGATTTTAAAACTAAGGTATGGGTAAACTTTTTATGGTGACTAGCTCCACCGCTTTTCACGGCCCCTTACCCCAGAAACCCAACTTTGGCTTGGCCCTACGGGTTAGTATACACCGCTTGGCCCTACCACTTGAAGGGTTTTTTGGGGGAGCATAGTTCCACTGGTGCTAGTGGGACTCGAACACGAGACCTCTCCTATGCAAGGATAACCTCACAACCAGCTAGGCTGGAAGTGATGGTTTACGGAATACCTTTATATATATACTAGTTGTTGCCGATTCGATCACTTATTTACTTATTTATTACTTTATTCGTAATATATAGACACATTATGTTTCTCTTTTATTCGTACTATTAGTCTGCCCTTTTAGGACGAGTGGCATGTATCTATAACATGCAGCTGCCAAGTATCATAAGGATTTTGTTGTATTCATTTTATTCAATTCTATTTGTACATAGTATTAATTAATATAAATATATTAGACCAAGGATCAGAGTATTGTTTTGTTTCTGAGTGAGGTTGAGTTGCCAAGTGTAGGGTTTCTCTGACACGTGCATCACCTTATATACATTAATGTATAAATCACATCCAAGTGATTACGTAGATTATAAATTAAATTGTAACTTTGCTCATTATATTTATTATACTTACATAATTTTGACTCAATAGGACTAATTATATGTGTTATTTTCTTTTATTAGACGGCATACACCCTAACTATCAGCTACTTAAATTCAACTCACATTTCGAAATGTTTAATTGCTATGTAACTTTATTTACTATTTATATTGTAAATAACAAAATGTGCAGAACCGGGACATTACTTTTTTTAGTAAGACATTATTTTCACTGCTACAATTTCGTTTAAGGTCATACCCGCTAGACCGGTTTTTGGGGTGTTACAAGAATAATCAATCAGCCAGCTATCAAAGGTTCTCTCTCTAATCAGCTTTACACGTGGCCGCTCCTCATTGAATTGGGTTGTTAGTTTGTTAGAATAGCTTTACACGTGTCCTTCTCCCATTAGACTAGCATCTTTGGCTTGGCCACCAAGTATCTCCCTCTTCTCCTTAGTATAAAGATCACCTTCCAACTTGTGGAAAAAGATGCTTAATCTATTGCACTCTTGAGACTTATACACTGAGACTTTTCGGATCTGTACTTTCCGATCAGTTTGCTCTCCCTTCTACAGTTCTACTCTCATTCTCGGTGGATTCCGGTCACCCCTGGTCCGACGATCCATCAGGTATTTTCATATTTTGTGATGTATATAATTTAAATATTCAAAAAAAGATCCGTATTTTTTATTCAAAATTTTGAAAAAGATCGGCATTGTACACGTTTATGTGTTTACACGTTTTTTTAAGTTAACGTTTTTTTTACCATTTTTTAGTTATGTTTACCGAATAAATATTTTACAATTTTTTAATTCACCTTTTGTTAAATTTAACTTTTTTAAAGGTTAACGTTTTTTAATCTTGTTTAATTTCCGTATTGTATTTATTTAAATAACCAAGAGATTAGTACATACGAAGTATTATTTAAAAATGGTCTGCTGTAATAATTCCTGTAAATCATTACGGGAAAGTTGTAAACGCAAACCACATATTTTCTCTTTGTCACACAGAAACTTCTGAAAATCTAACCGAAGCAACCTTATATGTGTTGATTTCTTCTTTCACAAAAAAAGGATAATACTTGTACTTGACTTTACTTTCGCATTAAATTTGTTTTCAGAGTGTTTATTGGGCCCGGATTTATGATTCATTCATTCAGTCTTGTTGGGCGTTAATGTGTGTTGGGCCGAGGTATCGGCCTTCTGCACTCACGAGGGGCCGGCCACACAAGAGCAGCCCGCCGGGCAATGTCAAAGGACTACTTCGTGGTCAACGAGTCAACTGTAAAGAGAGTGAGTGAGTTCACACCACACCTCCCCTGATTATTATCCAGTAGCAAAAGCGTCTAAATTCGTTGTACCTGCATCCCCTGAAATCCGCCAAAATGGCTTCTACCGATCGCCGCCTCAAATTCGTCGCCGGAGCCGATTCCTTCGGCAGCGATCTCAAGGATACTCTGGTCGCTCAGCTCCGCGCTTTGAACGTCGACGTTGAAGACCTCGGCACCGACAAGTACTACTCTGTCGGAGAAGAGATTGGGCGCCGCGTAAGCCAAGCCGCCGCCAATTCATCGGTCGAGGTTCGAGGCCTCGTCGCCTGCGGAACCGGCGTCGGAGTCGCCATCTTCGCCAACAAGTTCCCAGGCGTCTACGCCGCCACCTGCCTCACCCCCGAGGAGGCGATCAACGCTCGATCGATCAACAATTGCAACGTCCTCGCTGTTTCCGGCATGAACACTTCCCCTGAAATCGCTTCACAAATCCTAGATTCATTTCTCCGCACTCCTTTCAAATCTCCCTGCCCTGCCTCCGGCTCGAACCCCTGGCCTTCAGAGATCGAATCGTTTCTCGACAGCTCCGTCACGGAGATGTCGAAAATCGGAACCCTAGCACAACCATCCCAATCCTCAACCGGAGATCTCAATGGATCACCTTGCAATCTCTGCTCGCTCGTGAAGAGCCGGGAGTTCAGCCCGGTCGAGATCATTCCGGGCGGATCAATGATGATAGTGAGGGAGACGCCGACATCGGCCTTTGTGAAGTTCAAAGCCGGGAGCGTGGAACCAGCTCATCACCACACATTTGGGCATGATCTGGTTGTGCTGAGCGGGAGCAAGAGCGTGTGGAACCTGAGCAAAGGGGAGAAGTACGATTTGGGGGCGGGGGATTACTTGTTCACGCCGGCAGGGGATGTTCACAGAGTGAAGTATTTTGAGGACACAGAGTTCTTCATCAAATGGGAGGGGCAATGGGATATATTCCTGGATGAAGATCTAGCTGCTGCCAATGTTGCCATTGGTAACTAGGGATGAAGATCATTAAAACCTGTTGTAATTTTATTAGCCTTGGTGTTCGCTTTAATAGTTACTTGTGTTTATATTTCTCTGTTATTGTAAGATCTTTGTGCCATTGTATTTATGATTTCATAGGTGAGAATGATATGGTCTTTGGTTTGAGTATGTACAATGGGTTGAATAACACCAAGTAATAATGTGTTGAGATTTGAATCCCCAAATTTGGATCTTTTCATTTCAAAGTTTGTTTTACTGCGGTCCAATTAGACAGTATCAAATTTGTGTAAGGTGTGAAATAAGGGTGAAGGCGGTTAGAGGGATCTATGTAAAATGAAGGGTAAACTCGGGCTGGAACTCGGACAAATCCCAGAATTCATCATTGTTGTGATGCTAGCCAAACAAGCTTGGAGCCTGGTGAGGTATGTAAAGTTTGGTGGGATGAATACTTTACATACAGGTACTTCTTTTGTGGAGCTCCAAGTAAGAACTAGGGATGGCCTCGGTTCGGGCCGCCCGGCCCGGGAACCGGCCCGGCCCGGTTTTCCGGGTCCGGGTCCGGGTCCGGGTCCGGGTCCGGTTCGGGCCTAGGACCGGGGGCTTGGGCGGTTCCGGGCTCGGTTACAGTTTTTGGTGAAACGGCCCGGCCGGGTCGGGCCCGGGTCCGGGCCAAAAACTGTTTTGTTTTTGTTTTTTTTTCATTTTTTTGGGCTTTATTGAGTTGGGCTTGATGCTTAGGACCGGTGTGGGGGGTTTGGGGTGTGGGGGGGAAGAAAAGGGAAAAAAATAAACTAACCGGCCCGGCCCGGTCCGGTCCGGAACCGGACCTGGAACCGGTGGCCACCGGTTCGGGCTCGGGCCCAACAAAACAGACCCGAGGCCCGGCCGGCCCCGAACCGGCCCGAGGCCATCCCTAGTAAGAACCGATCCTCATTTATTTGGCGAAACTTATTAGAAACTCAACAAACGATTTCAGAAAACGTTCGCAAGAGATGGGTAACAGGGTAGAAGTCAACTTTCATGTTTAAAGAATATGAATGTTGCATTCCTTCGATCGAACGACGATAAAAATTGGATTACAAACCGGGTGTAATCGGTATTCTCACCAGAAGAGGCTAAGAGAATATTAAGTGTTAAAAGGAGTAACTCATAACATGCAATTGTAAGAAAGCTTGAAAGAAAGTTGGATTCATCCCATCCGATCCCAGTGCCTTCTCCGGGTGCATACCAAATATAGCTTCCTTAACTTCCTTAATTTGAATTGAACTCAAATAATCTGGAATGGTTCATTTAAAACTGATTTTATTAGATTTGATCTGTTAATATAAATTTGATTTGATCTAATCTATTAAACATTTAAACATAATTTGGTCTATCATGGTCATAACTTATCTTGTTGATTTTGTGATATACGATTCTAATGATTTGAAAATATCTCATTGTAATCTTAAACTATTCCATTTGTTTGTGTACTGATCATTTTTGTTTTTTATCATTAATAAATAGAGGTTTGTCCTAAATAATACTCCATACTAAAATAAATGTTATGGACAAAAATAAGACTACTTTTAAAAAGTTCCAAAAAAGAGACTAAGGTGACTTTTATACCCCTGAACCACAATGACCATGACCAAATGCCCCAGTGACCAAACGCCTAGTGACCAAACACCGCAGTGACCAAGGCCCAGTGACAAAAAGCCATCAATGACCTACCATCACTAGTGATAGTGACCATATGTCTCCGCCTCCGGTGAGAGTAACCCCGCTAGTGACATTCGTCCTCCGACCAGTTACAACTGTCACCCCTACCAGTGACCAACGCCGCTGCCTATCAGTGACCAACACAGCCGCTTAGTGACCAACGACGTCCTGGATAGTGACAACCGCCGCCCTGATCAGTGACCAACATCGCCCTGACGAGTAACCAACTCCGTACCAAACCAGCATCTCCGCCAACCACCGCCCCACCATGGTCCACAACTTACAGCCCCACCTGCCCAGCCTCAACTCGCCCCTGCCCCCTCCCCAGCTTCCCAGCCCCTTTCCCAGTCTCCTCTACCCGTCCCCTGCAACTGCCGCACTCGCAGCCCCAATCGACGGCCAGCGTACCACCATAGAAGTTAACTGCATCCGCGACCACAACGCCGAGCGCAATCCGCCATCGCAACCCCAACCATCGTCGTTTCCCCAGCCCCAACCCTAGTTATCGTCATTCTAAATCTAGATCTAGTTTGTTGCTCGACACCAATCGCCCATTGAAATTTAATATATAACCGTCTGCCGCCTCCCTCCGATGGCGATTACAACACCTGCGATGGCGAAATCGAGGAGCGGAAAAGAAGAGAATGAAGAAGAGTCGATTGGTTGTTGCCGTTGTTGCTGTTGTTGCTAGTCACCTTCGCCGATATGGAGTCGCCTCCTTCGACGTGAATCTCCACCATCTGATGTCGCACGGTTGCATCAGTGGATGAGTGGAGTTAGGAGCTCCGTCCTCACCTTATGCGAAGAAGCCCTCTCCTGACGCAAAGAAGTTCACGCAGGGGAACAAAATGTCGATGGGGCAGAATTTTGCAATGTGCATTTTAGACTTTTCATTTTATTTTAGTCATATATCTGTCCTAAATAAAAATTGTTCCTACTTTTTTCCAACTAGAAGCAGGGAGTTCTACTTCGGTCATTATTTCTAATAAATAAGTGTTTTTCTTACAAGAAATAGATATACTAGTCGATTTTCTATGACATGAGTTACACATTAGAAAGCATGAAATAGACGGTCACTCCCGCCACAATAGTAAGAGCATCTCCAATGCTACAATGTGCACGGTGCACATGTGACATGAGAGAGATAGACATAAAATATTAATTTTATAACATTTCTCTCTCCTTCTTTCCACGGTCTTATGTGTTTTTGGTAAGTTTTTCTCTGCAATGTCAACCACAATGTCTACATCTAGACATTATGCTTGACATTGTGAAGAAAAACTTACCAAAATGATGTAAGATCCTTCAAATAAGTAGAGAGATATTCTATTTATTGTTTTTTAATTGGTCATTTCTCATGCCACGTATGCACCGTTAACGTTTTAGCATTGAAAATGGTCTAACATTTCTCGAGTAGACAAGGGCATAAATAGAGGAGTCAATGTCATTTTAAGCCCTGATCCACCTCAAATCTGAAAAAGCCATCATTTACCGTGTAAAAATCTTAAACTACTACACGTATAGGAGTATTTTGGAAAATTGTTAATAAGAAGGCCAAAATCTATTTGATACTACTATACCAAAGACTTAGACTTTATTGGGACAACCTAATAGACTTTTGGGTTAAAGTCATACTAAAAAATATTAAGTAATTGTTCTAAATAGGACTAAAACATAGACAAAAACTCAAATTAGGACTTGATATGTTTTATCCTCAATATAGGAGTCATCCGCTCCTATTATCAGTTTTTACGTTTTTCGCAAAGTCTAAAATGTCCCTGTGCGTATCATTGTCTCCGCCTCCAGCATCGATCTTCTTCTGCGTCATGCTCTTCTCCTGTAACTCCAACATCAATCCTCTTACCTGCAACCTAAAATCAATCCTCTCCCCTGCGATTCGAGTAACGATCACCTTCTCCTGCATCTTAACAATCGATCTTTTTCTACGATGTCCAGTCCAAAACTCCATGTTGTCTACTACTTCCCTTTCTCTCCTTCCTTTTATATCTTCCTCTTCACGTTCGAACATTATCTCCCAAATTCCTCTTCCTCATTTGATTCCTTCTTCATCTTACTCTGTTTTGTAAAATTTCATCTTTGTCCCCAAAATGTCACGGAGATGACATTTCCATATATAAAAACATGGCAGCCGTGGAAAATGTCAAGTTGGTGTCATTTTTACTCGTTAGAAATGTCAAATAAAAACTGTCATTTTGATAAATGTAATGTCAAGACAGTGACATTTTTTTAAATCAGTGTTCAATAACATAGGAATTATGCCATTTTCAGGTCCAATTGGTGAGAAAAGTGGAAAATGTCAAGTTGGTGTACATGTCATTTTTACTCTTTAGAAATGTCAAATAAAAACTGTCACCTTGGTAAATGTAATGTCAAGACAGTGACATTTTTTCCAAATCAGCGTCCAGTAACATAGCAATTATGCCATTTTCAGGTCTAATTGGTGAGAAAAATAGTATGAATTATTTAAAGTGAATTAGATGGAATTTATAAAAAAATGAATATCCAAATTAGCTTTAAAGAAGAAGAAGAAGAAAAAGAATAGAAGAAGAAGAAGCTTACCTGGGAAAGTTGCAGACGCAATGCAGAGACATCCTTCAGCGCAGTTTTGGTAGTTGCAGCAACATTCACAAGTCACGAATGGAAGAAGAGTGGCTTTGCAGGGCAGTTTTGGTATTCCATCTATATTTTAGTCCTATGCATTTAAACGGAAAAGTGATAGTCCTAAGATGGGGGTTTTCATAAGTTTTAGTCCTATTTAGCTAATCTCTCTAAAATATTACTCAAAGTCTTATTATTAACACAATTTCATTCTATTTTTTATGATTCTTTGATGTGGTCCAACTTCCTAATGTGTAAATTATCATCAAGACGCAGATCAAATGTTCAGATAGTAGCTACTAGCTAGAACCTTTTGGCTTTCAACGTACTGCCTTCAACGTAAATTTGAAAGTTTAATAGTTATTTTTGCATTTCGGTAATCAACAGTTAATGTTCAAAGTCGTCAACACTTTTAAAGCCAAAATTATTATACAAATGCCATCTTCTAAAAATAAAAATTTGAAAGATAATTATTTAAAAAAATGTGGGTATGCTCTCTCTAGGGTTTCGCTAGAGTAGTCTTCTCCTTTTCCGTTTTCGTCATTGGACGAAGAACGGTGCTTCGGCGGCTCCCTGGGCTTGCGCGCTTAGGCAGGCTTCGGTGTAGACAAAGGCTTGGTGTCGCAGGTGACTCCGGCTGTGATTCTTGGCAAATAAGTTTCGTGAATCGACAAAGTGAAGGTTGACGGTAAGCTTCGTTTTCTCCAATTTTTGTAGAATTGATTTGGCTTTTGGAGGAAGGTGGGTATCAATATAGAAAGATGGCTATTGAGGAAGAAAACAGCAACTTGAATTTTGATGATGAGGAGGACGGAGAGATTGTTTCATCCGAGAAGGGAGCTAAATTTCCGATGGTGGGAGATGTTCTCACGGATCGGGAAGAAGCTACAGTTCTGCAGGATCGTCCCCCTCCTGAACCGCCGCCGTGGAGTGCTGGAGAGTCTAGGGTTTGGAAACATCTTTTTAATTTTATTGTTTGCTTGCAATTTATTTTTCATGATCAGACTGCTTATTTTTCTGTTGGTTACTTTTATTATTGTAAAACTTTTGCATTAGGAGTGGGTGATGAGGGTTCTACGGTGACCGTCATTGGCTCAATTATGCCCAATTTAGGATCAGCGAGTTGTATTGCTTTGTCAAAGGTGATTAACTCTAAGTCTGCCCCAAAGGCGGATGGTTACTTGTGGTTCTTTTGTTATTTTTATCCCCCTCTGAATGCCATGATTTTAATCTAAGCCCCCTTCTTCAAAAAAAATGTGTGTATTGAGAGTGAAGAGAGACGGAGAGAGATTATTTTGGGCAGGACTACATTTAAAAAAGAAAGTGAAAACTTATTTAAATTTGATCTTATATGATGTTATTAGATTTAGCCTGGTCTAATCTGTCACGCGGTCACGCCCCGGACCTACCCGGACACGTCAACAACCCGCCGTACAACATGAATAGTCAACCAAAGTCAACCACATCCATATTATACAAGGCGTCATGAATATCATTCACACATAAGTCATCCATAAACATGCATAATAAACAATTCAATACGCAGCGGAAACATAGTTTGAAATCAAATGCCACACGGGGCAACATGAGCACGCAGGCTCTAAAGTAAAATATCCATGAGCATGTTTATTAATGTTGTAAAACAGAGTGGAGGAAACACGAACCAAGTCTTCTCTCCGGGGAAATCACTCGAGCAACGAGCACAGGAACAAGCTCTAACCTCAACCTGAAATGGTGGTGGGACGCCCCCGAAGGAGTCAGTACTCTATAGGGCTATAAAGTACTGGTGTGGATGACATCTAATAGATATACAATAACAAATATTTCAAACACAAGACCCTCAAATAGGGTGATAGTACAATATAGTTGTAACCCTAAGTTACCCCGTTTGAAAATATACTTACTTTATATAAAAGTCAAGTAGTCGGCCCGTAGGCCCATGTTCATTTAGAAATCACCATTCCCATTCCCCGTGACTATAAGCCACGACAACTCATAGAGTCCAACCCTAATACATGACCTTGTATTCCAGAGCTCCGCTCTATCACATCACCATACAATTCATGTCACTTGGGTCAATTTCCTTACCTTGCATTCTAGAGCTCGGCTCTATCACATCACCATGCACTCCTTAGAGCTCCAACCCTAATACATGAAATTGTATTCTAGAGCTCCGCTCTATCACATCATCATACAATTCATATCATTTGGGTCAATTTCCTCACCTTGCACTAAAGTCCAATTCCTAAGCAAACATATGCTTAGAATTGACATATCAATAAACTACCTTGGGTTATCCTTAAAGACTGCCCATAACATAACCTTAGCTTCATACTAAGTCATTATATACACTTGAAGTATATTCAAGTGTATTGCATACAATCCAATCCCTAGGATCAATGCTATCAACCATTTCCAATAATCACTAACTAGTATTTCAATACTGTTAAGATTATTGTTATCATACAAATATTCTCATTTTGTAATTCTCTACATATTTACAATTATGTAGCAGCAACTTAAGTATTAAATCTCAATACATAAATATTCATTTATGTATCCACATAATTCATACATGAGTAAAATGCCTATTTCACAAAATAGTTCATTTATAACTCATTTAATCTCATATTATTCATACAACCTCAATTCATTTCCAATTTCATTCTTTGGAAACTATATCAATATTTCATCAATATTTAATCATCATAATCCATGAAAAATTATGATTTAGGCATTTAGGTAATCTCATGCTTAACCTACAAGTTGTAAGCAATTAGATGTTGATCCTCACCTTTTTTTTTTTTTTTTTTAAACCCGGAAGGCAAACCACCAAAATCAGTGGGGCAAATGCCGGGAGTCAGTTGCCGTTATTTTATTAAAAAAGAAATTACAAGAGAGAGGAGGACCAAACCAAAGCCTCTCACAGAGGCATACCTCTGGAAATTAACACCAATAAAACCTCCAATGGGGGGCCACACCTTACCCATATGGAAAACAAAATTTAAATTCTAAAATAAGGAAAATCAAAATAATCTGAGTAGTAAAACTTGCGGACTGGGTAAGGCAACTCATCCACCTTTTTAAACTTTTTAAGGCAGCCCAAATCCAGAGTAGATAGGGCATGGGCCGTCCAATTGCCCTCCCTAACTGTATGTCCAAAAATGATTCCATTTCGGGCAACCTTATCCCTGAACTCTATCATCGATCTATCTCCCCCAACATTGTCTGAAAGCTTAATCAAAGATAAAGAGGAATCGGTCTCAACCTGAAAAGCAACATGACCAGCCTCCATCGCCATCTTCGTCGCATATACTAATGCTTGCCATTCTGCATCCTGGCTAGACAGAGCTCGCAGCGGAAAGTGAACCGCCCAACTTAGCTCGCCTTTGTCATCCCTGAAAATCGCACCTCCAGCAGATTTCCCAGGTAAGAAGGAAGCATCAACGTTCAGTTTATCTTTGCCCTTCGGTCTAATCCATCGAACAATCTGAAACATAGGTCTTCCAAATCTGAAATTCTTTCTCAACAAACCTTCACTTAACAGGTATGGCTCAATTTTTCTTCTTTTAAGCTTAGAGAAGCTCGCAGACCACATCTGGGTATGGTGTTTAATTTGGGCAATCAGATTCTCCTTTAAAGGAATAGAGTTAGATCCCCAAATATGAGCCGAATAAGCTTTCCATATAAACCAGCAGATCACGCCTGGTAAATTATGTTTGAAAAGATCACCCATTGTTTTGTTCCCAGCTTCTAACCACCAAAGAATAATAATTTGTCTTACCTGGGATTGGCCACTAGGAATAGGAATTTGAAATATATGCATAAAATAATTCCAAATTTCCTTCGCATAGGGACACTGATAGAACAGATGTGTGATTGTATCATAATTGTTCTTACACATAGGACACCTAGAAGGTCTTACGACCAGTTGGAACCTTTGTAAAGAGTCAGTAATTGGCAAACAATTATGTAACAATTTCCAAAGAACTACTTTAATCTGCATAGGTTGTTTAGCATGCCAGATATGAGAATAAGTGAATGTATGGGATTTTACATCTCTTACCTCATTATAGGCAGAAGAAGGATTAAATCTACCATCGTTTGCAGGAGTCCAAATTAACTGACCATCATTTTCTTCCACGCAGAGCTCCTTTGCCACAGGATCAATATTACAAATTCTCCTCCAAACTGATGAATCAGACACCTTGGCTCTTATTTCCTCCCTAGGATACCTTGCTTTAAGAAAGGATGACCACATAGAGGTATGATTTTTCCATTTCCACCACAGTTTTAATGAATAAGCCTTCTGAATATCAGAAAGTGATCTAATACCCCACCCCCCTTCCTCGGTTGGATAACAGAGATCAGACCACTTCACCCAATGAGTTTTATGATTGTCATAGGTAGAACCCCAGAGGAAGGCTGCCATCTTCTTCTCTAAAAAATTGATTACCTTTCTGGGCAAAAGATCAACAGCAAGAACATGTAAAGGTATAGAATTAAGGACATGTTTTATCAAAACTAACCTCCCCCCTGAGAGAGGTTCTTTTGCTTCCAAGAAGAAAGCTTCTCATCAAACTGGTTTATAATCTTTTCACAGAACTTGAATCTATTAACCCCCTTATGTAAATTCACCCCCAGGTATTTCATAGGCAACTCAGTTTTCCTCATTCCCAGCATATCTCTAATAATATTAATTCTGCCCAAGGCTGATTTGCCACATATAAAAGAGCTCTTTTGAAGGTTTACTGTCTGACCTGAGGCTGACTGATAATCTGTAATGAACTTTTTAAAATTCACCAAAGACCTGGATCCCCCATTAAGGAATATCAATAGATCATCTGCAAACCCCAGGTGAGTAATTGGATATCCAATGTTCCCCATCCAAAAAGGTTTTATACTTCCTTCCATCATTTTGTGATTCAACCCCTTAGAAAAGCCTTCTGATGCAATTATGAAAAGAAAGGGAGATAGAGGGTCCCCTTGCTTCACACCCCTCTTCGGTTGATCCTCACCTTAATTGAGCTTTAAACTTTTCCTTCTTGATCCAATGGTCAAAGCTTCGGTCAAGGTGGATTAAGAACCGGTTCCTTGCTTAAATATGAGTGTTAAACAGCCTCCTCAAAGTGCTAGCTCAAACCCTAAACGTCGATAAGAAAACAGCCCCTAGAATGGGTGTTTTCCGGCGAACTCTTTCCTAGTTTTTCCAAAATTTGCTCTAGGTTAGTATCTAACCTTTACAATAAATAAAGTAACTTTATAAGGACATATTATAAACTTCGAGTAGTGTATAATAGTTCCACCAATCGTTCATATCATTTGGAAAATGAAAGCAAAGGTTTTGGGGTTAAAACTCACTTTAGAAGAGTAAATCTGTTTCTGCAAGATTGTGTTTTGTCCGGACGATTTGGAAGCCTTCCACTACTCCGATTGATGCAAAACAGACCTTCACGGATTCCTAGTCTTGAGATCTTTCTTTTGGTATCTTATACGACTTATTTGTATTAGTATAACTCGAGATATGAACCAAACAATACCAACACTCCCACTGCTCGAGTTTGTACGCAGCGGTTCACTCAACCTCGGTTATTGTCGGTAAAACTCTCTATTCTTGATCAGAAACCATTCAATAATGAAAGTAGACTTCAAAGTCTATCCAGGGACACTTCATTCACATTATTTGGTCGAGTATAACTTCACTTATGGAGGGAGAGAAACATCACTCCCTTATTGTGCGAAAATAGACTAGGTGGGGTTCCCTCTTTGCTTCCTTTGTCAAGTTCAGCCCCTAAAGTCAGCTGTGGCCGACCTCTAATATTATTTTTCTTGTCTTGCAGGTGGAAGGAAGAGATGGGGCATAGCATGGTGTTCCCCAATTATTTTGGGAACAAAATATCAATCAATACATCCAAAAATGGAAAAATGGGTCCTATTGTTTTATCTCTTGTCAAAAGATGTCTTTTTGTACTCATTGTAATTTATATAGACCAAGTCAACTCCCTACATCATATTATTGATCTCCAATATGTGTAGGATCATCCCAATAATTTACATGATGAATAATATAGAAGAAAAAACCTACTCTCATTATTTAGCTCAATAATGTCAAAGGTGGGACCATAGGTGTTTGTATTCTTCTCAAATCATCCTATCACTTATTTTGACATTATTATACACATTGTTGGGCTACAAGCTGTGTGGGTCACCCTCGAGTGGGCCTAGGACGCCATCCTTGAATACTTAGTATTTTTAGTAGGTTGGGCCCAAAATAATGTTTGGACTGCCCAGCTTTCCTCAACATGTCTTGAAAGGTTATGTATCATTATTTAGATAATGTTGGGCTCTTTTATTCATTAATAAGGCCCAAATAAGTATTTGCAAGCCCGACACTAATATACGAGTTCTAACAGTACAATAATAAATCATGCACTACGTACATTAATCGTTTTACAATCGTTTGGTAATCGGAAATTCAATACATAAACTTTGAATTTTAAATTGAATTTTCAAGGACGTTCGGGTGCGGTGTCACATAATCTATTATGATTTGGCCAAAAAACATCAGCTCGCTTTGCATTTTCTCTAATGTAACAGCTTGTAATAAAATTTACGATCAACTGTAATGGTCTTCATAGCATACCACAAATGTTACAACAGATGGAGCACAAATGTAATAGCTCTAAACTTGCACAGATGTAACGATTTTATAATGTAACATCACAGCGTAAACAAAGAAATACACATATCTGATTAATTTTATAATGTAACACTTTGTGCAAACTATGAGCCACACAAATATCTATTTCTTTAATTCATATACAGATACATACGTAAACAAAGAAATCTGGATACAAATATATCGAATATATAATCAATGTAACAATCATTAAATACCTCATTTAAATTTAACATATATCTATCAAACATTTGTTAATTACACCAATTGATCAATTGATCACGTAACTAGCAAATAACTAAGTATCTCATTAACATGACATTCAATGTTGTTCAACCAGGCTGAAACCCTTCATGGTTGCCGATACCGAGACAGTGAGACTATACTAATAGATGTCAAGTCCACTCTCGATCCCGAGAGCGATACAAATCTAGACAACATATAAATTAAAAGTGGATGTTCATGACGCTAGTCCTCACCCGACTTATAGGCAAGATCTTGAAGGCTAAGCTACATGGTTATTAAAACTAAAATATGTGTTAAAAAACATGTTCATCATTCGAAGAAGCGTTCTTGAGAAAATATCATTCAACATTCATCACATGGCGTCATTCCTTCATTCATTCAGTGTCCCCTCATGATCATATAGAGCATAGTATGTTGGGAAATCAGCCTAATTTTGTTTTATCATAAAACCAACAATTATACTAAATCAACAAAACATTCGTCACTTGACTGATAATACAATAAGGGATAAAGCAAGAAACAAACGACAAAAAGTCTTATGTCTGTCGTCCTCCCTTGAACCAGACTTGGAATCTATCACCCCTGTAGAAGCAATAATATTTATTGATCCTGTAATGGGCTTAACTGAGCCAATGACAGGCAAATCAGACTTCTCATCACCTGACTTAAAATCTAGAATCTTACTGTTAGGAAATAAGAACACACCCACAACAACATGTCATTTGAAACAAAAACACAAACAAAATAAAACGGAATTAAAAGTTTAAAACAGAGTTCACTCATCTTCTTCCAAACCATAGTCTCTTGCACTCTATAACGGCGGCTCGAGGGGGGATGAACCTCTGAAACGATTGCTCCATGCGGTCTGCAGTGTCCTCCTCCTCGAGCACCAGTTCGTCATCCTCAGTCCTGCTCTCCCAATCGTAGCACTGCCTGATCAACTTTTTCTAACTATCTTGCGCCGGAACTACCTCATCCCCATCCAGCCGCGACCCGCCAGCCTTGGCCTTGTTTGCGATCTCCGCCATATATGTGTTGCGGACTACTGAAGAAAGAAAGCCTCACAAGAATGCCGGAAGAAAGCCGCACAAGAATGGCGCTCGGAAAATTAACCCACCTACTCGACCGAACAGCCTTGGAGTCTTGGAGACTCGTCATTGTCCTTCTACTTGAATTGCCTCGAGCCGCACTTCATCGAAGATGAAAGCAGAGATTACGACCCCTAAACCTAGTGGAGACGGCCGCACTTTACTTAGTAAATCAAATGATGAGCCACGAAATCAGCCCAATTAAAAACTTCAAAGTGATTAAATAATTGAATTAAAAACTTCGTGATGTTCTTTTGAATTAAATTGAATTAACGGCGTTGGGACGCGCATGAGGTTTTCTTAAAGTCAATATAAACGTAGTACTCCGTACGTGTATTTAATTTTCCCAACTTATCAAACTTCTATACTCCGTATATATTCGACTTTTGGCTTCCGACCAAAAAATCAAACTCGAGATTGTTGTTTGAGGAACGCATTAAATTTAATTGTTGAAACCTCTCGTAATGGAAGAGTCAACATGGAATATTGTCTATGCAGCTGCGTGGGTATGTGCCGCTGCACTCATTCTGCTAGCAAAGCATCTCCGCCGGAGAAAGCTTAATCTGCCCCCGGGGCCAAAACCGTGGCCGATCATCGGAAACTTGGACCTCATTGGCACCTTACCCCATCGCTCCATCCACGACTTGTCGTTAAGGTACGGCCCTATCATGCAGCTCCGGTTCGGGTCCTTCCCGGTGGTTGTCGGATCCTCCGTCGAAATGGCCAAGATCTTCCTCAAAACCATGGACATCAACTTCGTTGGCAGGTACTGTATTAATTAAATTACTACTCCGGGGTACTACGTTTTGGTCTAAGTAAGTTGGTGGTGCTACTGGTATATACTCCCTCCGTATTTTAAAGTTCTCTGCAATAGGGTTGAACACAACATTTTAGGGGTAATGAATAGTGTAGAAAAAAATATAAGAGAAAATATAAAAGTGTGAAAGAGAAGATAAAAAGTAGGAAAAAATAAGGGTAATTGAGTATTTTTAAAGGAAAAAACTTACCAAAAATGGAAAGTGTAGCAAACTTTTAAATACATCCAAAAAAGGAAAGTGTAACAAACTTTAAAATACAGAGGGAGTACTATGTATTTCTCATATACACTGTCTAATTGTTTGTGTACACATCAGTTTGTGAACGAACCGTTTGTGTACACAAAGTCACAAACAACTTTTTCCAAATAACTTAGCTACATATGTGATTTCCTATTGAATTGATTTGAACATATCGCCATGTGATTTCATATGAATGATATAAATAAATAATTCAAATACACATATGTTTTAGGAGTGTACATCAATTTGATGTTACTAAAGTCAAATGATATTGCAAGAATTTCAAATGACATCATGAGCTAAAAAAATTGAATGTACTTAAAGTCTCTTTGTTACTTATAGAGCCCATTTGGTAGCACGAAAATCGGTTGATTTGGCTGATTCTGCTGAAATTTATGAAGTTCTGGCTGAAGTGCCTGCATTGGCTGATTCAGCTGATTTAAGAAAAAATTATTTTTAAAATATACTCCCTCCGTCCCGCAAAAATTATTCATTGGTCAACTTAGGTCACTCCTAATCTTTTACTTTATATATCAAATTTTTATCAAATTGAAATTTTCTTGATCAGGCTTTGTAGCGGTTTTAATGTAGTTTCTGAATATGCAAATTTTATTTACTAAAAATAATCTGAGTGTGAACAGGGATTGAGTTGCTTTATCGTCAGTCAAGCATCGTAAACCGAACGGGAACATCTTTGCGGGACGGAGGGAGTATTTTATTAATAAAATAAAGAAAAAATTAAATGTAAAATAGCTAAAATGATCATCTACAGTAACTTCAGCCAATACAGCCAGAAAAGTAACTTCAATCTTACTTTTTCTACTTATTACACAATTCAGTGCGCGAAAGCAAAAATTACGTGTTTGGTGAAAAAGTTGTCTAATAAGCCCGATAAGCCGAAAAAATGTGTTGCCAAACAGCACCATAGTATGTGAGATAATAATATGTACTGCAAATCTGCAATGCACAAATAAGGGATGTTAGGCTTAATACAATTTAACTATAATAATATGTACTGCAAATCTGCAATGCACAAATAAGGGATGCTAGGCTTAATACAATTTAACTATTTAAGGATTTCACGAGTCAACTGATGTTACGATTACTATTTAACTAATTTAACTATGATATGAATTTTTACCCGAAATAATTAGTTGTGTAATGATTATAGATTTGCTACATGCCAATTCGTTAAAAATGAGTTTTATTTGGACCAATTCGTTAATATGAGTTTTATCCACTATGTTTGGGACGACGTTTTTTATTTGGACTGTTTTTACCACACTAGAACAAAATAAATTGACCTATACAGATCTCAGTCATACTAGACCAAACTTAAATAGAGAATACATGTCATACCGGACTTTCATAGTTATAAAATACGTACACATGGACGAGACATTTATCAAACCATATAAGTTCAGACTAGACCAATCCTGATCAGACTTAAATAGATCTGATCATATCAGATTTAAACAGATCAAACCTGACTTAAATAGACATGACAACACATACCAAACTTCCATAGTTATAAATACACATGGACGAGACATTTACCAAACTAGACCAGTTCAGACTAGACCAAACCAGATCAGACTTAAATAGATCATATCAGATCATATTTAAACAGATCAAACCAAATCAGACCACAAAATTTCAGTCCAATTAAAAACATTCTTAGTTCAACGCAAAAATTAAGAATATTTGAATTGTGCAATGTGTATTGAATTAGCAAGTGTAAAATGATTGTAAAATGTAGCACAAACCATGCGAATATGGAATAATTGTATGATTTTAATTAGAACTTGAAATAATATTACTCGTGGAGACAATTAGGTAAACTTGAATAAGAATAATAATTTGGGGAGCATTAAATCTTTTGTGTTTTCTAAAAAATGGGGTACCGTACCTGTCATTCATGTGATTGACCACGCCACTTTATCATTTTTAATTTAGATTTAAATAATTCAACTGTTACATTCCCATTGGTCCATGCGGACAAAGATATGGTATCTTATGGGTACCATATAATCTACCATTAATTTATTACTCTGTACGTAGTAATAAGGGAGTCACTACTTATTGTACACTTGTACCCTGTATCACTTTAACACATCAATCTATTCAGGCCACAAACCGCCGCCGGAAAGTACACAACATACAACTATCGTGATATCACTTGGAGTCAGTACGGCCCGTACTGGCAGCAAGCACGACGGATGTGCACAACGGAGCTTTTCAGCTCAAAGCGTCTCAACTCGTATGAATACATCCGAACGGAGGAGCTGAAATCCATCCTCTCCGAGCTGCACAAAAAGTCATCATCAGACCCAGGACAACCGCTAATATTGAAGGACTACATGTCCACCCTGAGCTTGAATGTGATCAGCCGGATGGTGTTGGGGAAGAGTTACCTCAATGAGCTAGAAGGAGCTGTGGTGAGCCCTAATGAATTTAAGAAGATGATAGACGAACTGTTCTTGCTCAATGGGGTGCTGGATATTGGAGATTCCATCCCCTGGATCGCTTTCTTGGACTTACATGGGAACATAAAGAGGATGAAGGCATTGAGCAAGAAATTTGACAGGTTTCTGGAGCATGTTCTTGATGAACATGATGGTAGGAGGGAAGCCGAGGGGGAGGGGTTCGAGGCCATGGATATGGTGGATGTTTTGCTCGAGCTTGCTGATGACCCTAACAATGAAGTTAAGCTCGAGAGGAATGGAATCAAGGGCTTCACACAGGTTTTTAGAAAATATTTTAAATCTTGCTTCTGTTGTTATCCACACTGGATATCTTTAGCTATTCCTCCTATCAGATTGACATTTAGGATGAAACCCCAAATATTAACCGCTTTTGATAATATATAGAACTCTCTCTCTCTCTCTCTCTCTATCTCTCTCTCTCTCTCTCTCTCTCTCTCTCTCTCTCTCTCTCGAGAATATATTAATTTCATTGGAATATTTTACGAAAATGACAACTATTTGGCCAAATTTCCTCCCGTAAGATGGCACATTTGAGTAATAAAGTCATAGTTTAGATTTTATTTAAAGTAGATGATTAAGACAACTTTTTGTCAAACTGCAGGACATATTGGCTGGTGGAACAGAGAGCTCTGCAGTGACTGTGGAATGGGCGGTCTCAGAGTTGCTGAAGAAGCCGGAGATATTAGAAAAGGCAACAGAAGAATTAGATCGGGTGATCGGGCGAGAGAGATGGGTAGAAGAAACAGACATGCCAAAACTCCCTTACATTCAAGCAATTGTGAAAGAGACAATGCGATTGCACCCCGTGGCACCTATGTTGGTTCCACGCCAATGCCGCGAGGACTCAAAGGCCGCTGGCTACGACATTCCCAAAGGCACCCGAGTCCTCGTCAGTGTCTGGGCTATCGGAAGGGACCCTGCGCTGTGGGACAATCCTAACGAGTTCCTTCCTGATAGGTTCATTGGGAAGGATATCGATGTAAAAGGCGCAGACTTTGAGTTACTCCCATTTGGTGCAGGGAGAAGAATGTGTCCTGGATACAGTCTCGGGCTTAAGGTCATTCAAGCTACTTTGGCTAACCTCTTGCATGGATTTAAGTGGAGATTGCCCGATGGTTTGACACCTGATGAGCTCAACATGGAAGAGATTTTTGGGCTTTCGACACCAAAAAAGTTCCCTCTTTCTGTTATTATTGAGCCAAGGATTTAGGTGCATTTATACTTGTCCTCGCTTTTATGTGGTGTGAAGCTCTTGTAGAATATACCAATAATTTTAAGGAGCAGTTCAATTAAAACAAATATGGACATACTATGTACTCGCTCCATCTCATTCAAAGGTTCTCACTTTCCTTTTTTGGAAGTCCCGTATAAAAGTTCCCATTTCTATTTTAGGAAACAATTAACATTCTAAAATGACAATTTAATCGTCAAATATTAAACGTAATACATCTTTAATGTCATAGTTATCATCTTTAATATATTTGAGGTTGTGTTATTGGACTTGGTTATTTTGGGCTTGAGAATTTGGGTGGCACTGAGTGCTGATTTATAAAGTGGAAATATGGGTTGTCCGATTAACTTAGGATTTATTGTTTTGATCAGTGGCAAGGGCTTTTTGATTACATTTACTTGGTTTTTCTTTTGGGAAAATTTCATCAATAACCTTAAAAGTTAAAATAATATCACTTTTGTCACCTCTTAAAAAAACTATTTTTCAAAATATATTCAAATAACCTTATTTAATTATTATCTAATTAACCGTGCCATTTCACAATGGGAACCTTCCAGCGGGATGGAGGTATTATTAGTTTTGCATAATGAAGATAAAAGATAATATCAAGAAATCTAATCACCTTACTTGTGAAAATAATACTAGTATGCGGTAAATGGTGTGTGTGTGTGTGTGTGTGTGTGTGTTTTTTTGAACCCGGTTTGTAATCCAAAACCCGAGGGTTTTAGGGTGAGGGCCAGGAAACACCCGACCTATTTGTTGATTACAAAGTGAAAGTACAAAGAGTAGGAGGGCCAAATTAAACCAAAGCCTACTCATAAGTTAGAGTACATATGGATAACTAATTGCATCAATTTTAGTATACCAACAAAATGATTAATATGATGATTTGTGGTATTAATAGAGGTGCTATAGTGGGCTAAGTAGTCAGTCGATTTGTTGATCTCCGGTTGGATATGCTTTATTGACCAGTTTAGACTTTAAAGCTTTTTCTGGTAAGGAATGACCTATTATACCTTCATAAACATCTGCACTATCAACCTCAAAAATAATATTATTATAAGTGTTAGTCTTGATGTGAGGGATAGTTTTAAGAATGACATCATAAAGGGCAATTGTGTTGTCAAGATGTTTATCAATCTGGGAGATATGACCAACGTACTAGCTGGCATCATTCCGGATCAGTGCTACATTGCGAATGAGGCCGCGATTAAGATTACAAGAGGCGAGGTTGATTTTAAGACAGTTTTTGGGAGGTCTATGCCAATAGTTTGTGCTCGGGGGAATGTCTTTTTTTTAGGTTTGGTGGTGAGGATGTTTATCGGAGGATTAGGGTTAGCCGAGATAAAGGGTTTGGCAACTAAGTAGGCAAAAAGATCATTTTAATAGTATTAATCGCCTCAGGAATATGACCTTTAGTGTCATCATAAAGATAGGTGTTACTAATCTTCCAAATGTGCCAAATAATGGTGTTGGGAAGGGCGTAATTTAAATCGTGGAGATGTATATTAAAATTATTGTACCTGCGCTCCATAAAGATATTTAGGTTGGTATCATGGTTGTGCCAAAAACCAAAAAGATTTTCAAAATGATTCCATTTTTTTTGTTGAAATTGCATCTTACGAAGAAATGATCACCAGTGTCATGAGTATGACAGTAGGGACATTTAAAGGGGCCAAAGATACCCATTTAGTTAAGGTTTTTTCCAAAATGAAGGATATTATTGTCAAGGCGCCACATAAAAAAAGATATTTTTTTGGAGTACAATTGTTCCAAATATATTAAGCATTGGCCTTAAGATTCATCATAGGTCGTGTAGCATCATAGGCACTAATGCACTATTAAAACTGAAATTGCCATTGTACTCGGTTGCCAAACAAAATTATCATCGAGGTCGGAAAAACGAATCGGTTTCTCATGAATTTTGTCAACAATGTGTCTGGGGAGGCTATTGTGAGTAGGAATGTTTTCCTCGAATTGATGAACGGGGCCAGAAACACTCCAGTTAGAAAACCAGAAAGAGCTGGAACCATTGTAAACTTGAACCCTACATTTAGTTTAAAAAATGGGTCGGATCATATTCAGAGATTTGGACATAATGGACCGGGTGTCATCCTTTAGGGAATTAACCCATAAGGCCCACAATCCAGTATTAGTTTCCAGCTTCCACATTAATTTTAGAAAGAAAGCCTGCTGGATAAGGTATAGCTAGGTTCCTGAAGCCCAAACCATTCTCATTAGTTGGGTAACAAACATTGGCCCAACTGCGTCAAATCCTCTTGTTGTGATCATCAGTTTTGTTCCAAAGGAAATCAGATAGTTTCCTCTCCATTTTTGAATAACATACTTGGGGAGGGGGGAGACAACCATATGATAAAGAGGTATAGAACCAAGCACATGTTTAATCAATATCATCCTACCACCAAAAGAGAGGAACTTATGTTTCTAACCCGCCAATTTTTTGTCAAACTTGATCAAAATATTTTCAAAATAGGCATTGAGGCTTCTGCCATGATAAATATTAGCACCCAAATAGATAAAAGGAAAAGAGCCTCTACTGATTTTGAAAATGTCATTAATAATTTTGCAATTATGCAAAGTTTCATGTTTGGAAATGAGGTAAACACTTTTATCAGTACTAACAACCTGCCCCGAAAAATTCTTGTAATCAGAAATCACCTTGTGGAGAGCACGAAGCGTATTTTTGCTAGCATTAGAAAAGACAACAAGATCATCCACAAAGGAAAGATGGCTAATAATAGGCATATCAATAAAAGTATTATAAGCATTTCCCTTACTAGAATGAAACAGATGGTTAAGGTTCTTTGTCACAACCTCACCCACAATAATAAACAAGATAGGGGAAAGAGAATCCCCCTCTTTGACCCCACGCGAAGCATTGGGAAAGAGGAAACCCAACTCATTCACCACATTTAGATTAAAGGACCAGGATAATCTGTCAAACACCTTAACCATGTCAAATTTAAGAATGAGGTTGTGCCCCCTAACTTTTCTTATTTATATGATTGACTAATTCCCGCAGCATCAAAATACTATCAGATATCTTCTTCCCTTTTTGAAAAGCAGTTTGTTCTTTTGAAATAATTTTAGGAAGGAGAAAGGAAATACGGGTAGTGAGAATTTTTGTGAAAATCTTGTTTATGAAGTTACTCAAACTGCTAGGTTGGAATTTTGAAAATTGATAGGCATTGGACTCCTTGGGGATAAGAGCAACAAGAGTGTGCCCAATAGCCTTGGGAATGGGAACCCCACAGAAAAAAATTCCTTAATAGCATTAGCGAGATCACATTTAATAATATCATAAACAGACTGGTATAAGTAACCACAAAAACCATCACTACGAGGAGCACTAGTTTTCTCTAGACTTAAAACAGCATGTTTTATCTCGTTAGAGGTTATAGGACTCAAAAGAGAAGTGTTATCAGTGTCACTAATAAACTTATCAATGTTTTGAAGGTAAACAGTTGAGTCCATCGACTCAATAGTATCATCAGCACTTAACAAAGCGGTGAAAAATGATACAATAGCCTTACCGCTTTCATCCTTGCTTTCCAGCCAATTACCATCCTCAGTTTTGATTCTAGTAATGTTTAGATTTTGGTGTTTGGCTTTGAGGGAAAGATGAAAAAACTTGGTATTTTCATCACCAACCTTAAGCCATTTTACTTTAGCCTTTTGTTTATAGAAAGTTTAGATGTGGGAAGAGTATTGGACACACTTGGCCTGAGCTTCTTTGAGAAGATTATGATGTTTAGCATTAAGGGAATCAAAGACCTTTTTTTCTAAAATGGTTATGTCTTTTTCAGCCTCAGCCTGCTTATCAAAAATGTTCCCAAATGTATCATTATTCCATTTCCGCAAAATAGTTTTAAGTCTCTTAAGCTTACTGGTGAATTTCCACATGCCATAACCATCACAGGGCATGTCCCAGGAGGTCTTGACAGTGTCCAGAAACGTAGGGTGACTTATCCGCATGTGTTGAAAACGGAAAGAGCTAGGCCCATAGGAAGAAAGGGGAGATCCAAGGAGAAGAAGGGGATTGTGATCAAAGACACAACTATTTAGTTTTTTTAAAGTGAGGTTACAATTGAGTTGGTTGAACTCATTAGTAGCCATCAATCTATCTAGTTTTTTAAGAACCAGGCCCCTCATCCTATTCCCCATCCAAGTGTATGGAGTACCTTGGAATTGAAGCTCAGAAAGGCTATTTAAAAAAATGAATTCATTGAATAATCCAACCTTGGCACCTTATCTTGTCCCTGACCAGTTGATTTACATGTTATTCCAGGTTTTTTTCATTTTCTTTGCAAATCATTCAACCATAAATCCCACATTTCACAAATCTTCTCCAAGCGGTTCCACGTATCATTTTTCTTTTTTCTTCTCAAACTTTTCCCTTTTTATTTTTATCATCTTGACTCTTTTATTTCCCTTTTTGTCTTCTTATTCTTATTTTTATTACTTTTCAATTTTTTTCAATGTTTATGTATTCCATTTTTCCTTCTTTTTCGTCTTCCCATTTATTATTTCATTTTCATTTTTATATATTTTTCGAATTAGTTTTCTTATAAAAGATCTTTTTTCACCGTACTAACTTTTTACTTACACTTATTTATTTCCTTTTTCCTTTTCTTACCCTTATTCTACCACTATTATATAGTGAGTATTTGAGATAATAGCCCCAAAATAGGACTAAACTAATCCCTAAATGCACAAATAGAACTATGTTATTTATAGTCCCAAAATAGGACTAAAGTACCGTCTATCTTCTTATTCTACATTTCTACTTTTACCATAACTTAATAGGATAATCATATTTTACATTATAATAAAAAGTAAATATAACAAAAGATATTTCAATTTAAAAAAATATTGTAAGAAAATAAAAAGAACTGTTAAAACAATTTTTTAAAAAGATCAAAAATGGTAAAACAATATTTCAATAAAAAGGATAAAAAGAAGGAAAAATGGAATACATAAACATTGAAAAAATGAAAAGTAATAAAAATAAGAATAAGAAGACTAAAAAGAAGAATAAAAGAAAATGAAGCTGAGATTTATGGTTGAACAATTTGCAAAGAAAATGAAAAAACTTGGAATAGCAGGTCATCTACCATTCAGGGACCAGCGAATGAAGCTGGGGTGCAAAGGTTGGA